TGATCGTTCCCCTCTATTCAGCATTGGTGAGGCCTCATCTGGAGTACTGTGTCCAGTTTTGGGCCCCACACCTTATGCTGAACTAAATTTGTTAGTCTCTAAGGTGCCACAAGTACTCCTGTTCTTTTTGCGGATACAGACTAACACGGCTGCTACTCTGAAACCTGTCATTAAAGAGAGCATAAACTATCCTCCCTTGGTTTTTCTTTAGTTGGTTATCAGCACTGGAAAGTACCAAATGGCTGCAGCACTTGTCTGTGCTTCTGAAATCTGCACTATTGGTAGTGCATGCAGTAGACAGAGACCAGCGACCAGTCTTGGTGCACTGCTCGGATGGCTGGGACCGAACCCCACAGATAGTGGCACTGTCCAAACTGCTGCTAGATCCATATTACAGGACCATAGAGGTTTGTAAACCATCCATTGATGCATGGGAGGACGGCTGAGTTTGGGTTTCTTTGCAGATTAATAGGGAAGGCTATGAATGATTGAACTCAGGTTTCCTCATCTGAAAATGTACTGATGTTATCACCAGTCTTGCTGCATCTGATGGATGCTATTGAGTGATATGGTGGGTTAATTGTGAAGGGAATTAAATAGAAGAAAAGCAGGTTGAAAGAAAACATGATTAATTCTGAAAAGAAATCAGGTATATTAAGCATGAATACTTCCCATGAGACATCTCAGACTGTGTCCTGGAGAATTGTTGCATTTGGACTGACAAAAAATCTGGAGACCTTCAACTACACTTCCTTTCCCTCAGGGTTTCCAGGTGCTAGTGGAGATGGAATGGCTGGATTTTGGCCACAAGTTTGCAGATCGCTGTGGCCATGGTGAGAATTCGGATGACCTAAATGAGCGCTGCCCAGTATTTTTACAGTGGTTGGACTGCGTCCATCAGCTCCAGAGGCAGTTCCCTTGCTCTTTCGAGTTTAACGAAGCATTCCTTGTGAGTTGTGGCTTGAGAGATTACTGTTTTATTAAATACTTCTAAACCAGTAGACAGAGCTAACACACTGAATAGCCCTGAGGGGTTTCCGATTTTCCCATCTACCTTATGTCACAGTGCAGCCTGATAAACAGATGTGACAACTGTTGAGCCTTGTCTGGCAGACAAAACCACTTGTCTTCATGGAATCTGTGATCAGTTCTCTCTGAAAGCAGGGATGGGGCCTTTTAGGACTTCCTTTAAACTTTAAATAAAGAAAGAAATCATGTCCTGGATTCAAATGTCCACAGAATAGGGACAGCCCAGGTAATGGCAATGCAAACTTCCCCAGCACTTCTCCACTACGCTATTTCATCCTGACTTGGAGAGGATGTCTCTAAGAGCAAGAAGGAGTTTCCATTCTCTTTCTCTGCCTAGAAAGTGTGGCTTTTCTGATATTGACAACTGTCCTCTGAGAAGTTTGGCTAAGGCTACTGAAGTCCCATCTCAAGGGCACCAAGCCAGTCACATCCTTATTGTTAGTCACTAACTACATGGATGGATTTGAACTGGCAATCTAGAGGAGAAAGTTTCTATAATGTTTCACCAATCCCCTGCGTAATTCCATCTTCTGGTCTTTTTAGAGCTGAAGGCCCTAATCCAGCAAAAACAACAAGGAGTCTGGTGGCACCTTAAAGACTAACAGATTTATTTGGGCATAAGCTTTCGTGAGTAAAAACCTCACTTCTTCGGATGCATAGAGTGAAAGTTAAAGTTACAGGTCTGTAACTTTCACTCTATGCATCCGAAGAAGTGAGGTTTTTACTCACGAAAGCTTATGCCCAAATAAATCTGTTAGTCTTTAAGGTGCCACCAGACTCCTTGTTGTTTTTGTAGATACAGACTAACACGGCTACCCCCTGATACTAATCCAGCAAAGCAGTTAAGCATGTGTTTAACTTTTAACACAAGTAGTTCTGTTGAAGTCAATTGGACTATTGACATGCTTAAAGATAAGTACATTCTTAAGGGCTTTGCTGGATTGAGGCTATAGTGTGGAGTGAGCTACAATCTAGATTGGATGAGCTTCCTGTGTCTCCATTTGTTCCACAAGACAGAAGATGGTGTGGACTGCACTCTCAGCAAGTTTGCAGATGACACTAAACTGGGAGGAGTGGTAGATACGTTGGAGGGTAGGGATAGGATACAGAGGGACCTAGACAGATTAGAGGATTGGGCCAAAATAAATCTGATGAGGTTCAACAAGGACAAATGCAGAGTCCTGCACTTAGGATGCAAGAATCCCATCCACTGCTATAGACAAGGGACCAAGTGGCTAGGCAGCAGTTCTGCAGAAAAGGACCTAGGGGTCACAGTGGACGAGAAGCTGGATATGAGTCAACAGTGTGCCCTTGTGGCCAAGAAGGCTAACAGTATTTTGGGCTGTATAAGTAGTGGCATTGCCAGCAAATTGAGGGACGTGATCGTTCCCCTCTATTCAGCATTGGTGAGGCCTCATCTGGAGTACTGTGTCCAGTTTTGGGCCCCACACTACAAGAAGGATGTGGAAAAATTGGAAAGAGGGGGCTGGAGCACATGACTTATGAGGAAAGGCTGAGGGAACTGGGATTGTTTAGTCTGCAGAAGAGAAGAATGAGGTGGGATTTGATAGCTGCTTTCAACTACCTGAAAGGGGGTTCCAAAGAGGATGGATCTAGACTATTCTCAGTGGTACCAGATGACAGAACAAGGAGCAATGGTCTCAAGTTGCAGTGGGGGAGGTTCAGGTTGGATATTAGGGAAAAAAATTTCACTAGGAGGGTGGTGAAGCACTCGGTTACCTAGGGAGGTGGTGGAATCTCCTTCCTTGGATGTTTTTAAGGTCAGGCTTGACAAAGGCCTGGCTGGGATGATTTAGTTGGGGTTGGTCCTGCTTTCAGCAGGGGTTGGACTAGATGATCTCCTGAGGTCCCTTCCAACCCTGATAGTCTATGATTCTTTGATAACCTATTATTGCCAGCTCTGTGCTTTTTTACTTTATTGATGTTATGTGACAACTGTGTCAAAAATTCCCTTCTCTACCATTTCCTCCAGGGCCCTGGTTTCAGTATGTAAGTTTTAGACACAGCATGTAAATAAACATGCAACCTTTAGGTTCTATTTCCTCCTAACATTTTATATAATTCAAATATGATGGTGCATAATGGAGAGGAGCCCATTGTGCTGGTATGTTCTTGTCATTAGCTTTCTAAGAAGGCATGCAAAAAATGCTAAATAGATGTATATGGCATCCTCCACAAAAGCGTTACATATACAGCCTCACATGAATGGTAGATTAATTGCCTCTTAAGCATGAAAGTTATATCTTTCACATACACCATATATGCTGCCGTATGACTCTATCTGTATTGGTCTGTACAGGTCAAATTGGTGCAGCACACCTACTCTTGCCTCTTTGGTACATTCCTGTGCAACAATGCGAAGGAGAGAGGAGAAAAACATACTCAGGAAAGGACATGTTCTGTCTGGTCTCTGCTGCGGGCAGCAAACAAAGCCTTCAAAAACCTGCTTTACTCCTCCCAATCAGAAACTGTATGTATCATTCATTCCCCACCACCTGTGGGAGAGTCCCTTTAGGGATTCTGCATTACAACTGTGGGAGTGGGGGAAAGTGACTGTCCCAAAAATATCCACCTCAAGGAAGCATCCCAGTTATTCCTGTGGGTGATGATTTGACTTTGCCTGTTGCATGAATGTACTGCCTAAAGATAACTGTGAAACTCCTTGCCAGAGGATCTTGTGAAAGCCAAGATTATAACAGGGTTCAAAAAAGAACTAGGTAAATTAATGGAGGATAGGTCCATCAATGGCTATTAGCCAGGATGGACAGGGATGGTGTCCCTAGCCTCTGTTTGCTAGAAGCTGGGAATGGGCAACAGGGGATAGGTCACTTGATGATTACCTGTTCTATTCATTCCCTGTGGTGCACCTGGCATTGGCCACTGTCAGAAGACAGGATACTGAGCTAGATGGACCTTTGGTCTCACCCAGTATGGCCGTTTTTATGTATATTCTTATGGATATGCCTCAACTTACCCAGTGGATAGTTACCATTTGAGTGCCATAGCAAGGTTTTATGTTTGAATAGCCTTAGCTAACCTCTGCTATGCCATGCATTCCCACACCACCAGAGCCATCTTTCTGAAGCATTTACATTACATTGTCTTCAGCAGACCACTGGGACATACCAAATGCAGCCATAGAGAGTATCTCTATGTCAGATATATGCTGTATTCCTTGTAATAAAATATTTTGTGTGCTTGACAAGATATGGTTACCAACAAGAGATCTCTGTCAAGTTACCCTGGGGGGATAAGAGTTGTGTCATAAGATATCTTAAATTCCCAGATAATTTTGTCAAAAAACTGGCATAACAAAAAATGTTATGGAAGTCTTTAAACATATCTAATTTCATCACATTCACTTTTTCAGTTAGTTCTCCCATAGTAAAAAACTCTCACGAGGGACTTGGGGGAGAGAGGCACAGTCATCTTTATGTATATTTGATAGAATAATATGTTAGGCATTCAGATATTGTGGTGATGGGCATGCTATAAGAACCTGTAGAGAACTGTTAAAATGTCATCGTGTTTATGGAAGTAAAGATTTTTCTAAGTTATTTAAACCCTTCCCCTCCCAAAATCCCCATATCTGAAGGAAAGGATAACAACTTGATAGCTACAAGTAAATTATTAAAAATGCCATTGTTGCTACTTAGACCCCAAATCCAGTAGAACCTCTGGACTGCGAACCTGAGCTGTAAAATTAGAGTAGCAAAATTCCTGGAGAGAGACAGGTTAATGTTCCTAAACATGAACATGCCACATTTTCTCTTTCTAGGTGCTGTATCCAGTGTGTCATGTGCGTAATTTAATGCTCTGGAGTGCTGTTTACCTACCATGTTCTTCCCCCTCCACCCCTGCTGATGACACCTGTGCCCCTTACCCAGTTCCAGGCTCCAGCCCTGAAGATCAGTCTCTGGGCAGGTGAGCCTAGAGCCCAGAAATCCCATCCTGTAAAGTAAGATCAACAGAGAATGTTGTGGGATTTAGGGAGAGGAGCACTTGGTGTGGGAGGGAGGTGTGGGACTGTTTAAATGACTAACAAAACCCCTGTGTGGTCATTTCAATTTTGAAAGTATTCAGCTTCTTGGATTGTTGTGTAACAAACACATTAGAGTAGAAAATAGGTTTGAAATAAATTAACAGATAAAACACAGTTCAGTATACGGAGTATCCCCAAATAACATCCCAGGTACTGTCCCCATTTGCAGAATTTATTCTGCTTTGGTGTACTGCCTCTGTATTGTGGAGGCCAGAAAATATGGGATATAGCACCTTCAGGGCTGCCTTGCATTCGTTGTGCACACTGCTTTTTTCCTTGTATTACATTCATGTAACTACTGCTTCCCTTCTCTTTAGAGAAGCCTTTTCCAGTCAGATGATTCTGGGTGCATGCTAGTTAGGAAGTGGAGCTTTGGTGTGGAGGGATGATTCTGGGAACGTCTGAAGATTAGTTGAAGAGATTTTCTTGATGGAGAGAGAAGGCCAGATGGGACGGTGCTGGAGCAGCTTTGAACCATAAATGATCAGACTGTACTGTTAGATAAAACCGTAGTGCATTGCAGAACTCCACGGTAGTGAGTGACTGGTTGTGATTTCAAAATGGGGAAGCTCATTAATAATAACCTGTGTAATTAAATATTTTAAAAAGTAACTTTTGATTCTGATTTTGTACCTCTGTAGGCTACCAAAGACAAGATCGTTTGACAATCTGACAACAGCCTGCGACAGCAACGTGCCTACAACTAACCGACGTAGTAGTGATCCCAGCCTAAATGAAAAGTGGCAAGAGCACCGTAGGTCTCTGGAGCTGAGCAGCCTTGGTAACCCAGGGGATGATCCATTTGATGGGGACAGCCTGAGCAAACAAGGCAGGGCTCTTGTTGGAGCAGAGCTTTCAGTTGCAGCTGGCGTGGCAGAGGGACAGATGGAGAACATTTTGCAGGAGGCCACCAAAGAGGATGTTGGTCTGGAGGAGCTCTTGAGGGGTACCCTGGAGACAACAGGCAAAGAGGATGAGGAGGAGGTTATCCTGGGTAAGGAGAACAGAACTGAAAATCTTGATGGCTATGTTGATGGCCTCTATGAAAAGACTGAGATGGATACAGATAGTTTAATAAACAATCCAGTGTCCAATCCACATCCAGTTTCACAAGGTTCTTCTGAGCTTAAAAGACAACAGGAGGAGCCTATGGATCTCAGTAACAGTATCCAGAAGTTACTTCAGGTGAAAGGACTACAAACTGTCCCCTTGCAGAGTACTGTAAATAGTGACATTCAGAAGAATGTGGAGGAAGGTGTTAGTAGACTTAATATAGAAGCAGAGAGCCCTCCATTGCCCATCACAATCCAACATGAGGCAAAAACATCCAACATGGAAAGTTCTACCGAAACCTTGACAGAGAATGGAGCAAAGCAAGAGCTGATTCAGAAAGGCCCTCGCCACGGACCTCGTCTGATGGACAACAGTGCTGAAGAACTTTCTCAAACAACTGAAAACAGACCGGAGGGGGAAAACATGATAGAGCTACACAGACTGGGAACAAAAGTAAACAGGACTTCTAACAGCAGCAACACACACAGCTCAATGCCTTCCCCTTGTGCCTTGCCTTTAACTGAATGTAAAGATGAGATTGTGTGTAATGGGGAGCTGGAGACTGAGAACAAGGTGACAGAGAAACCTGCAGGATTTAGTATTACCCAGAAATACCCTGCAGCAAATGGACACTGTGTGAATGGAGAGGATGATAGGATCAAAGACTCTCTGAGCTGGCAGGTCTCTACAGCTAGTTGTAGTTCTGCCCAGTTTCACTTGAGGAACTTGCACCATAAGTGGGTGCATGGCCATTCTGGGAGGCAACAGACAGTTAGCAGCCCAGACCAACCCACCAGGAGCCACTTGGATGATGATGGGATGCCAATCTACACTGATGTTATCCAGCAGCGCCTGCGTCAGATTGAAACTGGGCATCAGCAGGAAGTGGAGATATTGAAGAAGCAAGTGCAGGAGTTGAGGAGCCGGTTGGAGAGCCAGTACCTGAATAGTTCACTACGTTTCAATGGCGATTATGGGGACGAAGTGGTAAGTGTAATAGTAATTCAGCCACTGCTGACAATAATGGATTGGTTAATCACATTTCTGGAGCCCACAGGACTAAGTCAGCTGTTTGGTAAGAAATATTGTTGTTTGGTTAGACAGTGAATTTTGGTTATGGTAATATTTTTTTTAAAGTCTCAGTCATGCCATGAGTGCAGGGGACTGGACTAGATGACCTCTTGAGGTCCCTTCCAGTCCTGTGAGTCTATGCTGAAAAGAGCATGCTGTTCTCAATTTCAGGTGCAATCTCTTTATCGTGAAAGTGCAACTTACAAATGTAGATTTTTTTTTTCACATAACTGCACTCAAAAACAAAACAAGGTAAAACTTTAGAGCCTACAAATCCACTCAGTCCTACTTGTTCAGCCAACCACTAGACAAACAAGTTTGTTTACATTTACAGGAAATAATGCTGCTCACTTGTTATTAACAATGTCACCTGAAAGTGAGAACAGGCATTCGCATGGCATTATTGTAGCCAGTGTTGCAAGGTATTTATGTGCCAGATATGCTAACTATTCATAGGCCCTTTCATGCTTTGACTTGTAGATTGCACTATCTTTTATTAATCTTTTTTACAGTGCAAATATTTGTAATAAAAAATAATAATATAAAGTGAGCTTTGTATTCAGTTATAATTGAAATTAATGTATTTAAAAATGTAGAAAAACATCCACAAATATTTATGATAAATTTAAATTGGTATTCTTTCGTTTAACAGTGCGATTAAAACTGTGATTAATCGCGACTATTTTTTTAATCTCGTGATTATTTTTTTTAATTGTTTGACCGTCCTAATTTACACACACCGTTGGTGTGCTGTAGAATGAGGCTAATCACGGTGTCTTTACACAGTTTTTGCTGTGCCCATAAAATGGTTGAGAGAACTTTTTAAACATTTACCTATAATTTATTGGGCCAGATCTATAGGACTGGCTGGAATGATTTAGTTGGGGTTGGTCCTGCTTCGAGCAGGGGGGTGGACTAGATGACCTCCGGAGGTCTCTTCCAACCTTGATATTTTATGATTTTATGACTGGTCTTCGCATAATCAATGAAATTCAATGTTGATAAATGCAAAGTAATATATGGAGATAGATACCTATCTCATAGAACTGGAAGGGACCTCGAAAGGTCATTGAGTCCAGCCCCCTGCCTTCACTAGCAGGACCAAGTACTGATTTTTGTCCCAGATCCCTAAGTGGCCCCCTCAAGGATTGAACTCACAACCCTGGGTTTAACAGGCCAATGCGCAAATCACTGAGAGGTGGGTGCAAAGGAGGTTGTTCTGGGAGCTGGGAACCACTGAGGCACAGGGATGTGGGCCATGTCCCCTTCCCTCAAAGATGTGGCCTACACTAGGCTCAGTAGTGGTGGCGACTTAGAGTTGCAATGCTGCCTCTGCCACCCAGGGATTTCCCTTACAAAAGGGGAGTCTTCAAGTGCCAGTAAAGCCAGCTTTTATAGCTTTGCCACATTAAAGCTTCTTAAAGCAGCTAGAATAGACCTGAATCTTGAGCATAGTTTGAGTGTAGTATGTTTGCTACAGCTAGACTACATCATGTATGTAGTTGTTGCAACATTATGGATACTATAAAAAGATTACAAATTGTGTAGTATTCACAAGTTTGTAATTGTAAATATATAATCTGTAGGTAAAGCAAATACATTGGGCACATGTGGGTGTGGTGAATTTTTAAATTCCCTTCAATCCTCCTCCCCTTACCTATTTTTGCCTACCCTTCCGGTTTGAATTAAACTGCAGTAACAGGACTTCAAAAAAGAAGCCAATGCACCTACCTCACTCTGCTTCTTGGCAGTAGCGTAGCTTCAAAAATCTAACAGCAGGAGCCACTGGAACTTTGAAGCCCCACTACCACCAAGCAGCTGTGTTTGTGGTGTCTTTTTTCAGAGGCCTGTCAGTTTAGAGAAGGGAAGGGAGAAGAGTTAGAGAGAGGGAGGTGGAAAGCAGCAGAGAAGGAATGGGGGAGGGGATGGAAAGGATGAGGATGGTAGGGGAGGCATAAGGGAATACTCAGATTGTAAACTCCTTGGAGCAGGGACCATGTCTTCCTATGTGTTTGAACAACACATAGTACATTGGGATACTGATCCTGAATGAGGTCTCTGAACACTACCACAATACAAATTACAATAATAATGAAAACTTCACTCTCTATACACACATGTAGTGTGTCAAGTATCAGAGGGGTAGCCGTGTTAGTCTGTATCCACAAAAACAACGAGGCCTCTGGTGGCACCTTAAAGACAGATTTATTTGAGCATAAGCTTTCGTGGGTAAAAAACCCCACTTCTAGGTGCCACCAGACGCCTCGTTTTACATGTAGTGTGTATATTTTGTACAGCTACAGAATTATAAAAGATTTACATTTACAATATTTACAGGTTTTACTCCTGGGGGGAATTCTGTGCAAAAAATTAAAAATTCTGTGCACAATATTTTAAAACGCTGCATAATTTATTTGTCAAAATAATATTATAGAATCACACCAGTTTCAATTATTCTGAATATCTGTCAGCAACTATGTCTATAACAATACAGACAACAACAAAAATTCCCCCAAGACTAGAGAGTTAAAGAAAACCCTACGACAACCCAGTTCCTGCTTCTCTGCGCCTCCAGCCAGGGACCCAAACACCTGCACACCCCTCCTCCCTCCCCCCAAAGCCCAGCCACAGGGTGCCTCCACAGCCCAGACATCTACATCCCCTACCCCCCAGAGCCCAGCCATGGGTCGTCCCCCAGCCCAGACATCTACACCCACTGTTCCGAGCCCAGACACCTGCACCCCTACCGCCCAGCTGCAGGGCACCCCCAGCCCAGACATATGCACCCCCTGCCCTCAGAGCCCAGCTGAGGGGTGCCCCACATCCTATACACTCACACCCCCAGAGCCCAGGGATCCAGAGAAAGAAACACCCTGATGCTGGGTCCTGGGCTTGTACGGAGTTCCCTGTAGTGCATACCATGTCCTTCTTTCAGGGTGTGTCGGGGACTGCAGCTGCCAGGAACCCTCCAGCTCCTCCTTCCCCTGGCAGTGTCTTCTATTTGCAAGCTGGGGAGCTGGGCTCTGCTGGGTCTAGTGGCCCCTAAAAGTGGTGGCCAGCAGCTCTGCAGAACCATTTCTATGAGGGAAAAAGGAAATTCTGTGCAGAACATAAATTCTGCATTGCACAGTGGTGCAGAATTCCCCCAGGAGTAATATTTATAAGCATTCTTTGGACGTTGCAAAAGGGTCTAGTTGACAGAGGGGCTGGATAGTCCTAGGCGCATTCATTGGGAAAGACTTGCATGAACTTCTTGGGCCACTGAGGTTGCAGCTAATATAATAATTGCTAAATGCTGATTTTGTGACTGCAAGGTCTGCTGAGCATCATTCAAAATGGTCTTTTCTCATTAGCTGGAGCTTGGGTTCTTGACAGAAATGTGACCCAATTCAAAGTATTCTTATTGAGATAAGGGCCTTCACAATGTGTAATGTATGGGCAGATTGAAATGGATTTTCAAAAGCACTTAGGTGCCTATCTACATCTTTAGGCACCTACAGACCTTTACAAGCCTGGGTCCTAGTCTCTATCTTTTATTTCTGCCTGATCTTGATAGGTATATTCTCTAAGCTAGCATCAGAGGTACCAGCTCTCCAGCACTGAAAGGTGGAGAACAAAAGTTCTTGAATCTCTCATGTCTGGAAGAGCTGTCATGTGTGTCCTTTGACCAAAGTCAGTTGAAATAAAGTTCAACCTGGCAAGGACGCATCAGTCCAAAGACTTACTTGTGGAAGTGGGCTCTAATCCTTACCTCTACATATTTGATTTTAACTTGCATCTTCCCAAAGGAACAATCAGAAGCAGCAAGGCATACATATTATAAATATTGTTTTTTAAAGTGAAAGAACTTTGGAAAGGAGATAGGGCTGAGAAATTGGATTGACAGGGTACAGCTGTGAAATTTGTGAGGTGCCCACTGTTAATCATTTGCTATGTGTCCGGAAACTTGCACATACACTGCAACAGGTAGATTTTAACCCCATGTCCAGCATTAAAGGGTTAACAGTTTCATTCTGTCCTGTTGCAGTACACCGTTACACAAGCAAGCTGCCTCACTTGTTGCACATTTAGTCCCATCCCAGATAGAACTCTTGTCTGTACTGGCACAACCTAAATTATAGGTATGTAAGTATATCTGACCTGAGCCCCTCCAGTCCAAGCATAATCTATCTTTTCCTAGCAGGAGGTGCACAGATTCCCCCTTCCCAACTTTTTACTTCTGGTTCGTGTGGAAGTGGGAGTATGTGCAGGTTCTGTTCAGCTGTGTTTGTTTGCCAACAGACTTCAATACCCGACTCGGAAAGCAATCTGGATCAGAACTGCTTGTCTCGCTGCAGCACAGAGATTTTCTCTGAAGCCAGCTGGGAGCAGGTGGATAAACAGGACACAGAGGTACAGACTAAATCTCTGTCTGTGATATTGCTCCCTCTTTCCTTCTGTTAGGACATGATCTCTATAACATGGTTATACTACAGCCCCATGGTCACACCAGTTCTTGTAAACTATCCCCCTTGCCCTCACTTATCTCTAACACTTCAAATATCCGTGTCGAGGAGCCCTCTGCAGTCAAGTGTCTATGAACAATTTTTGAGAAACCATGGAAAGACAATAGCTGAAGGAAACCTGGACTAACACGTTCCCTGTAAACATGTTTGGCTTGGGTACCTTTGAAGTATAGAAAGAAATCAGTGAGCTATAAATTAGGACTTCTTCTCTGCGTGGCTGGAGGGAATTTGGTGGATCACTTTCCGAGGAGAAGATTTGTGTCTTCTCTTTCTTTCAGTATTGCCAGGATTGACTCTGTCCAGTTTAAGTAGCAGGGGGCACGTGTCCGTGTCTGTGCTCTTCATGGGCTTTATACGCTCAGTCCAGACTGATTTTTCAAGGGCTGTCTCCTTGACAAATTTGTCTTTGTGTTCTTTGTTTCACAGGTGACACGATGGCTTCCAGACCACCTAGCTGCACACTGCTATGGCTGTGACAGTACATTCTGGCTTGCCAGCAGGAAGCACCACTGCAGGTAACCTGTTCCTAGAGAGTTGAAGATGAAAGGGGAAGCAGCTGAACAGCGAGGCTGTCCTGAGTTGAACTGACCATTCTGTTTCTCGTAAATTAGGAAAGACTAGGAAGGATATCTGGATAAGAGAAATTCTAGAGTAGGAGGACCATATGCACTGCTGAAGCAAGGAATCCGGCCTTCTTTGGGAAAACAAGGCTGGTTTTGCTCTTGGGTCCCAATTTATTTGCAATGTCTATTTCAAAAGCCAAACCTGCTATCAGCTCCATACCCGTTCAAACAGAGTCAGCCTTCCTTTTCCCTTAAATTGTGATTCAGAGACAGTCTGCTCTTTGCAGGCATATTTTTTTAAGTAAATGTAAATGTTATAAAATATTGTCTAAACCTTTTCCCATTCAGTACAACCAACATAGGAATCACATCTTTTTCAGTCGTTGGCAGGGAATCTGCTACTTTCTGTCTCTTTTTCCTCTGCTCTGACATTCCCCCCTCCACTCCCCCCCAATTGCTTGTGTAAAGGATTCTGAAATGGACGCCTGCCTGAAGTACAAGCTCATTGGATTAGCCTGAGCCAAACCTATTGCTGTTAGGGGGCCATGCTAGATAGCACCAGGTGGCACTGGCCTATTGATTAAGTAGCATCCTGGCTTGGGACAGAGAATCCCAGGTTCTTCTTTGAGTGATGGCCCCTATTGTATTCCACTGAGGGTTATGTGCATGCATCTGAAACTGGAGCTTTCAAAGTAATATCACTTGTTGGTCCATGTATGTGCCCTTGCACTAACTTGTGGTTTCACACAAGGTGATAAAGGGTGGGGCTGCATCTCCTGTTCCTTCTCACTGCCACATGGTCCAAGTCGGAGCTTCTGCTGTCCTCTTGTCCTGGATGATGCATTTTTCCAAACTTTTTAGAAAAACTGTTTTTACTCTTGTTCATAGTTAAGATTTTATTGTTTTTTGTAGTAATTTTTGCCACATCAGCGGTTTTCCCTCCAAACAATCCTCACCTCACCTCCCTTTCAGCACCCGGGGCTGGTAATAGATTATTCCGAAGATGTTAAGTCTGCGCTTCCTGCCCTCGCTCATTTTCCATCAGCGACAAGCACCAACACTGTTTGTGCTGTTTGGAGGGGAAGCCCACACTGGGTCCAGGTTCAGTATCTGCCTCTCCTTCCCTGCCTCTACACAAGAAGGCCGAGCTCTCCACCTCAAAAAGTACCTCATGGAGGTCGCTATGGGGCCATAATCAGATCCTGGCTGGGGAACCCCCCCATACATCAGCCTGAACAATCCACCGTCAGTACCAGTGCTATGGACCCCGCGCCAGAGCCTAGCCATGAGCCATGAACTTTGGGCAATACGCAAAGTGGTACACTTGTTCTTATCAGCTATCCATTATTGTCGTATCTTCATCATGTTGGACAACACCACCACAGTATACTACATAAACAAACAAGAGGGCATGAGATCTCCAACGCTGTGTACGGAAGTGGTATGCCTATGGAAATGGTGCATTGCACATCATATCCTTTTGTTGGCAGCTTACCTACCTGGTACCCAGAATGTGATTGCCGATGCTCTCAGCAGGAGCTTTGTAACCAACCACGAATGGGAGTTACACGACATGGTAGTCGCGGACATCTTTGGTTGCTGGGGGACTCTGATCAGGGACCTTTTTGCATCCCACACCAACACCAAGTGCACTCACTATTGCTTAAGATGGGGACTTGGTGCCTGTTCACAGGGCGATGCTCCGGTCGTTGATTGGTAGACTAGACAAACTATACCTTTCCCCCCAACCACTCTTACCGCATGTCCTCTACAAACTCTGGTGGGAGAGAGCAACGGTCATTCTGATTGCTCTGTTCTGGCCCTGCCATCTTCTCTGCATGTCAAAACGTCCTCCACTCCTGCTCCAGACATTTCCGGAACTGCTAACACAACACAACGGCAGACTCAAGCACGCCGATCCATGGATGCTTCACCTGACAGCTTCTTTTTTGGATGGACACGTCTGTTAGCACAAGAATGCTTGTTACCAGTACAAGACATCCTCTCCAGTAGCCGGAAGGACTTTATTAGACGCTGCTATCATGTCCTGGGTACAACAACAAAGCCTTGCCTCTGAAGCTGTGGGCATTCCACTGCTCTTAGACTATTTCTTCTGTCTGAAGACCTCGGGGCTCGCTCTCAATTCCATCAGGGTTCACACAGCGGCCATTAGCGTTTTCCACCCTATAGTGGAGGGGCATTAAATTTTTACCCATCCTTTGATGGCCAGATTCTGGAAGGGCTTTATATGTAAATACCTGCCCATTCAGCCTATCACCCCTCAGTGGGACCTCATTGCCATTACCTCAGCGAAGAGGGTTGGCAAACTGTGGGCCATGATGGGAAAACCTTCCGTTCACCACATTCCATAAATATAAGGTTTCAGTGAAACTACATCCCAGATTTCTTCCAAAAGTGGTTTCCCAATTCCACCTCAACCAACCCATCCATTTACCTACCTTTCCCCCAAACCACACGGCTCTCATGGGGAATGGCAACTCCATTCCCTCCATGTAGATAGGACCCTGGCCTTTTACTTACAAAGTATGAAGCCATTTCAAAAGTTGCCCAGGCTATTTGTTTCTGTAGTGGAGAGAATTAAGGGACAGGCCATCTCCACTCAGAGAATCTCCAAATAGGTCTCAGGATGTATTATACGCTTCTATCAATTGTTGGGATGATCCCCACCTGAGGGATCTGAGTCCATTCCATGAGACTGCAAGCATCAACCACAGCTGCACTCCACTTCGTGCCCCTTGTACACATAGGTAAGGCAGCCACGTAGAATTCGGTACACACCTTTTCCTCTCACTGTACTCCAGTATATGATTCCGCAATGGACGCCTCATTCAGCATTCGGTGCAGTGGTCCTCCATTCCATGGTTCCGTCATCTTCCTCGCTCCCGCCTCCTATATAGGTACTGCTTGATAATCACCCTCAGTGGAATACAATAGGAACTGTCACTCAAAGAAGAAGAGGAGGTTACTTACCTGTAACTGGAGATTCTTTGAGATGTGTGATCCCTATCTGTATTCCAATCCCACCCTCCTTCTCCTCTGTTGGGGATCTGGTATGTCTACAGTGGAGAAGGAACTGGAGACGCGGTCGGTCTGCCTTACCCTTTATCGCCTCAGGCAAAACTACAGGGTGGCACAAGGGCGCATGAGCAGACCAACGAGTAATACTACTTAGAAAAGCTCCAGCTCTGGGCACATGCGCATAATCCTCAGTGGAATACAGTTAGGGACCACATATCTTGAAGAACCTCCAGTTACAGGTAAGTAATCCCCTCTTTATAAATCATATTTTCATGCTTCAGGGAATGAAGGTGTATCCCTATATTACTGAATCCCATTGTTGGATATATCGGAGCAGACAAGATGATCAGAGAAGATAGCACTTAAACAGATGGTGATCATCTGTTTTTGATGCTGTATTGCCCTTTGAAGCAGCAATGATTAAAGCATCTGCTATGCTTTGTGTCCATTTTTATATTTTGTTCTTTTGAGAAGATGAACAAACCCATTAAAGAATGACTAGAATAAGTTGAGCAGTTTTGATTTTCCCAAGATTCCTCATCTGTGTGTGTGTGTGTGTGTATATGTGTGTGTGTATATATATATATAACTTACAGCTTCAGATGAAAAGTATAAATGCTAGGTATTAAAATTACATACATCTGACATATTTGGTGAGAATTGAGCTCTGCTGTTTTCCTCTGTCCTTTCTCTAGTGGGTTTGCTTATTTTAGTTATCCATTGCAAAGCGTTTCCCATTTAGCATTGACATCTTGCTTCCTCTGTCTCCCTGGAATCGCTTTGCCACTTAGCCTACAACTTTCCAGGCCTAGGCTCTAGAGGGCTCCTGTTCGGTGTGTACACAAGACATGCCTAAGGACCCTGGGAATTATAATCCCTTCAGGGATTCAAGTTTTAATGCAAATTGCCATTTAGTTCCTGCATTGCATGCCATTCTCAGAGTTTCCAACCTGGTTGGAACAGGCCATCCATATTGGTTGAGATAGCTTTCAAGGGACTAGTAAGAAATAAGTGACCTACAACAAGAAGATCAAATGTTTTCATATCTTAATGTTTCATTAATCCTACTGCACAGGGTGGACCTGCTCACCCTGTCCCTGTGAGGGCAAAAATGAGGTTGAAAACCACATATTCTGTACTCTTGAGCAAGTTAAAGAAACTTCAGTGTCCCTTGTTGGCACCATTTGTGTCTTTTACTAGTTTCCCCTCTGAGCTCTTTCTCCCCTCCCTGCAGGGACATTGAACGTGTTGATCAAACCTGGTGAGCATTTGCAACAGCCTCTGTCTGTTGTCTATCTGCATTTCTTTGATAACTTTTCCAAACTAACTTTATTTCTCCCTGCCCTCATCTTTGTTCTTCACGTGTCCAGAAAACACCAGAAATGAATCCTGGGTGGATAATACAGCCTGTCAGGTGTTTAGTTTCATATGACTCTGATCAAGCAGCTCTTTCCACAGAAAGGCATTTAGGACTAAGCTTTTTGTTATGTAATCCACATCACAGTTCAAACTAACCCCCACTTCAGTGAGTCATTTGTTTGAGAAACAAGAAACAAAATTCAGACTGAATATAAGGCATACATTTTTAACAGTGCAAGTAATTAACCCTTGGAACAACTTACCAAGGTTCGTGGTGGATTCTCCATTGACAATTTTCAAATCAAGATTGGATGTTTAAACCAAGATTGGAATTATTTTGGGGAAGTTCTACAAGGGGTTATTCAGAGGATCAGACTAGATGATCATGATAGTTCCCTCTGGCCTTGGAATCTGTGAATGCTTCACTTCTAATTGCAAGGAGCAACCTACAAATTTAGTTGTTACCAGTTTATTTTGAACCCTTTTCCTTTATGTCTGAGTATTTTGTGAAGTGTGAATGATATAGGAGAGTGCTGGTGTGGCTGTGCCATTTTATCAGTAGTAAAAAATACCGTGGGGGAAGCAACTAAGTAGAGCCTGGTGGAGAAAGGGTAAGGGTAGATGTTTATTACTTGGCAAGAGAAGGTGGGAGTGATAGCAGGTTGTTGGGAAAGCAAAAGTCAGGTCGTCTCTCAGAGGAGGAATATGACATTTTCCATTGAGCCTCTGGTGTCTGTTAAAGAGGCAAGATGGATGAGATTGAATGAACCTCTAGCAAAGTACAAGGCCCTTCAGGAGTTAGGGGGAGAACCCTAAGAGAAAACAGATCAGGTGTGTGAGACAAGCTGCTGATCTAAACAGATTTAAAAAAATGTTTTGCTGCTTTTCTCCAGAAAACCATTTTGTTCTAGTCTGTCAAAAGTAAGTTTCTGCTGGATAATTGTCCTTTCTGAAACAGAGCTCTAGAATATCTGAACTGCTTTCCTGCCGGGCTTCTCGGTATTGCATTGCATTAAACTGTTTTCACTCCTGCGGTTTTTTCTAATAGCAGTTTCTAATGGAGTCCATACGAAGACTTCAAAAACCACTGTACGAGTCTAGCCAAAGTGAGTTTCCTAGTGCTAAGGTTAGAGCTTTATAACCAGAAGCTGCTGTGCAGAGCTGGGGAAATTAGCCCATTGAGGTGAGAAATGGGATTTCCCTTTGCTGTCTGTCACTCCACCAGTTACTAGCATCAGGAAATCTTGTCTCCTGGCATTGAAAGATTAATCAAGGCTGCTAGACACATTGAGACTTTTCTGCCCATCAGTCTCTAGGCAGCAGGAAATCAAGATCTCCCCCCATAAGCCCCTACCGGCACAAAATCCTAACACCAAAGAGTTAATGAGAAAAACATAAGCCAAGCAGATAAACTCTGGAAACTTCTGTGTAAAATTTGAAAATTTCAGGTCCCTGAAGTACAGTGTTAACGTCTTAATAATGCCTGCCTAGTTTGGAGGGCAGGGGAGTGAACTATAGTGCTCATCAGCTTAGAATGATCAGAGCCAGGATTTGGGCGGGTGGGGGTGAAAAATGTAATCATTTTCAAGATTCCAAATTTATCCATGACTCCCCTGAGGTGCATGAGCCAGCATGCCTCCGCCAACTGACACCTGACAGGAATGTGTATAAGACTGCTTGTTCTGCTGCACTGTTAGTGTCACTTTCTAAGCATGGAATACATGGCTGCTCATCCCATGGCTTTGCATGGTTCTGGTTGATTTTCACATTTTCTGTGTGCGGAAGTATGATGCCGCTATGGTTCCACTGAGCTACAACCATCGCAGCACAGACCTTTATTGGATCTTGGAGGTAGTGGGTAGACTACGTTTGTTAAAGTTTTATCGTATTTTCTCTGGCCCATTTTTAAATCTTTCAAAGCATATACGTGTAAGAAACAAGAAAAAAGGCTTAGTTACCCCTTTGTACTCTCACTTCCCAAAAAGGAATACTGTAGTGTTAGAGGATTATGGGGACATGAAGCCTTTAGGTCACTGTTTGAAATATGGACAAGATTGGTAGTAAACAGAAGCTTCACCATCCAACAGCTCTTTGACCTACTTCCACTGAGTTGGGGGTCTCAGTCCAGTTCCTAGTGCACCCCACAATTGAACATGAGGATAAAATTTTCAAAGTCACGTGACTAAGGGCTAGTCTTCACTTACCGGCTGGTCCGGAGGCACGCAATCGATGTTCTGTGATCGATTTATCGCGTCTGGTTAAGACGCGATAAATCGA